ACGTCACCCCCAAGATCATCTGAATTTCTCTCTTAATACAGCTTTTGCTGCATCCCATATGAGTTGGTATGGTATGTTTTCATTTTCACTTGTCTCCAGGTATTTTTTGATTTCTCCTTTAATTTCTTGAATGATCCATTCCTTGTTCAATACCATGTTGTTTAGTCTCCACATCTTTGTCCCTTTCTCAGCTTTTTTCTTGTAATCAATTTGTAGGTTTATAGCATTGTGATTGGAAAAGATGCTTGTTATTATTTCAGTCTTCTTAAATTTATTGAAGCATAGTCTGTCCTTGAGAATTGTTCTGTGTGCACTTGAGAAGAATGTGTATTCTGCTGTTTTTGGATGGAGTGTTCTATATATGTCTATTAAGTCCAGCTGGTTTAGCTTTTTGTTTAATCCCACTGTTTCCTTGTTGATTTTCTGTCTGGGTGATATATCCATTGATGTGAGTGGAGTGTTGAGGTCCCCTACTATTATTGTGTTGCTATTAGTATCTTCTTTTAGGTGTGTTAATAGTTGCTTTATGAACTTTGGTGCTCCTGTGTTGGGTGCAGAGATATTTATAAGTGTTATTTCTTCTTGATTGAGTGAGCCTTTGCTCATTATATACTTCCCCTCTTTGTCTGTCTTTACCTGTCTTATCTTGAAGACTACTTTGTCTGATATAAGTATTGCAACACCTTATTTCTTTTGTTTGTCATTAGCTTGGAGTATCGTCTTCCACCCCTTCACTCTGAACCTGTGTTTGTCATTGGAGCTGAGGTGTGTTTCCTAGAGTCAGCAAATTGTTGGGTCATGTTCCTTAATCCATCTCGCCACTCTGTGTCTCTTTATTGGAGATGTCCATCCATTTACGTTTAGGATGATTATTGATGTGTGAGGGCTTAATGCTGTCATTTTATCGCTTGTTTTCTGGTTTTCCTGCATTTCCTTTGTTCCTCGTCCTGTGTGTTTTGGTGTACCCATTGAATTATGTAGTTTTTTATGATGTGTTTCTTTGTTTTCTCCTTATTTATTATTTGTGTCTCTGTTCTGCTTTTTTGTTTAGTGGTTACCCTGAGGTTTGTATTCAGAATCTCGTGTATAACATAGTCCATTTTCTGATGGCCTCTTATTTCCTCAGTCTAAACCAATTCAGTCCTTTTCCTCCTCCCCTCCTGAGTTGTTTTTCTCATATCTTATTCCATCTTGTGTTTGCGTTTGTGGTTAAAATGACAGATTATCTTTGTTTTTGGTGTTTTCCTCCCCTTGAGCTTAGTGCTATACTTGAGTATTTGCTATCCTATTCTGATTCTGTCTACTTATTTATCTCCTTACTCTGTGTTTTTTGACCCCTTTCTCCCTTTTTTTTTTGCCCCAGGTATGAGGGCCTTGTTGAAGATCTCTTGCAGTGGGGGGGTCTTGTGGCTATGAAGTCCCTTAGCTTTTGTTTGTCTGGGAAAGGTTTTATCTCTCCCTTATATCTGTAGGATATTTTTGCTGGATAGAGTATTCTTGGCTGAAGATTTTTGTTCTTGAAAGATATGTCGTTCCATTCTCTCCTAGCTAATAAGGTTTCTACAGAGGAATCTGCTGAAAGCCTGATAGGGGTTCCTTTGTAGGTTATTTTCTTCTGCCTTGCTGCCCTGAGTATTCTTTCTTTGTCATTCATTTTTGCCAGTTTTACTACTGTCTGCCTTTCAGAAGGTCTTTTTACATTGACAGATATAGGAGATCTGGAAGCCTCTTCCATACAGATTTACCTCTCTTTCCCTAGTTTTGGGAAGTTCTCTGCTATTATTTCTTTGAACATGCTTTCTGCTCCATTCTCCTTCTCTTCACCTTCTTGGATACCTATAATTCTTATGTTGCATTTCCTCATTGAGTCGGATATTTCTTGGAGACTTTCTTCATTTCTTTTTAGTCTTAGTTCTTTTTCCTCCTCTGCCTGGAGCATTTCAACATGTCTATCTTTGATTGTGCTGATCCTCTCCTCTATGATGTCCACTCGAGTGTTCAGGGAATCCATATTTTGTTTTATCTCTTCCATTGTGTCTTTCATCTCTAATATTTCTGATTGATTCCTCTTTATAGTTTCAGTCTATTTTGTGAAGCAGCTCCTGAACTCGTTGAATTGTTTCTCTACATTCTCTTTTACCTTGTTGAGTTTTTTGATGATAGCTACTTTGAATCATTGTCATTTAGATTACATATATCTGTGTCCTCAGGACTGAATTCTAGGTGCTTGTTGTTTTCTCTGTGGTCTGAAGATTTGATGTAGTGTCTGATATTGCTAGAGGAAGTGGGTTGGATCTTATGCATCCTGATATTATTTGGTTGTAGTTAGCACCTGTCATCACTGCGTCGGGGTCAAGAGCCGCGTATTCTGAGCCCTCTGCCTTCAGCCGAGATCCTAGGCAGTGGAGCTGGCGGTGGGTGGGTTGGCGGAATGGCACTATCTCCTGCATGCACTCCAGGCTTTCTCACTCTGCTCTGGCTGTCTGGTCTCCTGGGGTCTTGGCATGATGTGGTCACCTCCCACCCCACAAAAGCTTTCGCCCCATTAGAGGGCTACCTTCTATTCTATGAGGGCCCTAAGGAGTCCTTGGTGATTCTGTGAACACGCATCCCTTCCCCTACTCCTTCCCTCATGGATCTTCCCATCTTCATGATTGCAGTCTTTAGGAGAGGGAGGGAAGTTCTCTCTTACCCTGTTCCAGCTTCTCCAAGGAGGGGCTCCAGCCTCTCCGCCCTCCATTGTATGGCTGTGTGCCTTTCTGATGTTTTTGTGTTGTGTTAGGATGTCCTTTGTCAGAGTATGGATGCCCCTTTTTGTTGTATGTTGCAGGGGAGAGAGTCCCAGGCAAGTTCACTCCGCCATGATGCTGACATCACTCCCTTAATTTTTGGTTCTTAAACTTTAGTGTGCATTAGGACCAACTGGAATGCTTCCTAGAAACTCATGTTTCTGTTATTTGGAAATTAGCATTTGTTACTCACTGTTATGTGTCCCTTTTACAGAAATTGTATATTTAATGGAGACCTTGAGCTCTATGCCATTCTTTTGTACCCAGTTTTGACAATAGGGTGGCTCACTTGATAGCAGCTATCTCCTCGTCAGAGGGTCAGTTTTTGTGAGGCTCAGGATAAAACTCACCTAAGGCTGAAATTCAAGGGGGGAAACCGAGCAGTGCTGAGGGGACTCTGGTGACTCATGTGCTAAGGGAATGTCGGAGCTGATGGGGACAGGAAAGAGTACTAGAAGGAACTCAGCTGGGAACGGGATTTCAAGGCAAGCGATCAGTGAAGGGCACTGGATTTTATCATGCTGACAGACAGCTAACATGAATGAGTCAGGAGAGGGCAGTGGCTAGGATTATGGACATGGGCTCCCACTACCTGGATTTAACTCCCAGCTCCACCACTTACTAGATGCATGACCTTAACCACTCTGTGCCTCAGTTTCCTTATCCATAAAAGGTAGAAAATAAAAGTGCCTATCTCATGGGGTTTATGAGGACTAAACAGAACAATGTGTTTGATAGGTATTTGCTATTAATATTGGGAAGGCCTAATCATGTTACAGAGTTGGAAGCGTGGTATCAATGAAATATTTTATTAGAGATTTTTCTCCTCAATATACTGTCAACAAGTAAAGAGAATAAATGATAACTTTCATTTAGTGTTGACCATTCTACAAAGTAGATTCATGTAATTGTCTTGCTTCTCAGTGCACCTCCGAGGAAGATATTATTTCCATTTTGCTCACTGTGGCAAATGGGTTCAAACCCAGGTCGTCTCCCTGCTCTTTACTAGACTACATGGATTGTGGCTGTTATCACTTGTAGATTTACAGTGACTTTCCTATGGTTTTTCAAGTCATTATACCTAATATTTAGCTAAATGAATACATTTTTACCATTTTCTCTAGAAATTAAGTATTTTTCAAAGTCCTTCAAGATTACTTTGTTATCTTTAATGTAAACTGGCTTTGAAAGAAGCAAAAAGATAATGAGACTATATATATGTCAATGCATCAAATCTTTCAATGTCACTATTTCTAGTAGGCTTTTTAAAAAAACGAACTGTAAACTCGGTTTTCTATGGCCTGGCTTTTTTGAAGTTTTTATTTTAATATAATACTTAGAAGTATTACTCCTAAAATAAAAGAGCACCATTAGATGAAAATTACTATGCACTCTATCTGGGATAATTTTTGCTTTATAGACATTGTTTTTCTTTTTTGTTAGAATACTTTTAAAAAATCACAATGGCTAAAGTAGAAGCCTTTATTAAGTAACCTAACTACATTCTTTAAGAGTTTCCTTCTATCTAATTCTGAGTCAACAAACATTTCACTATAATTTCAGTTGGAGTTGGATAGCCTCCTTTTCAGACGTCATAATTGCATGTATAATATATTCATAGACAAATAGATGTAATAAGCCACTTTTAACCTAGTGGCCATTCATAGCCACAGTTAGCCATAATGTGGCTAATTATGATCTAGTCACCTGTCCATGCATAATGGGATACCTAGTTAATATTTTATTTTGTTTTTTTGAGGAAGATTAGCCCTTAGCTAACTACTGCCAATCCTCCTCTTTTTGCTGAGGAAGACTGTCCCTGAGCTAACATCCGTGCCCATCTTCCTCTACTTTATACATAGGACACCTACCACAGCATGGCTTCTGCCAAGCGGTGCCATGTCTGCACCCGGGATCCAAACCATGAACCCTGGGCTGCCGAGAAGTCAGATGTGTGAACTTAACCACTATGCCACTGGGCCAGCCCCCACCTAGTTAATATTTTAATCTATACTTTAAAAAAATGTATATAGTTGTATATAATTAGAACATATTTGGAAATGAACATATTTCTGTTACAGATAGATATATATATGCCATTGGGAACTAAACAGTAACCAGTCTTTGATAAAGATTACTATTCATTATCATTTTAATAGCATTTTAATTCTAGTCAACAAACCATTCATTAATTAAATCACTTTTTTTAAGGGATTTCAAAAACTCTTCAGTGGAAACTGGCTCTGATATACCCAGTAATCCCACAAGCCTCTTCACTCTGAACCACTCACTAGCAAGTGCTTCAGCTGATAAGCAAGTTGGTTCTTACCCTGGACTGCAGATGCCGTTAGGTCTCTGCTGGCCGTATGCTGACGGAGACTTTTTTAAGGACAGAAATGAGCCTCCTGTTAATTTATGTTCAACTATAGAAAACAACAATGGTGAAACTTTATCTGCTCCAAATTGGAATTTAAAATACGGAAACAGCAGTGTGGAAGAAAATTTAACAGATGAAAGTGATTTGTCAGAAAGTGAAAAAGCAAATGATACTTTACTTAGCTATTTTAAAAAGATGGACCTGAACTTAAAGCCAGAAACAATAGAAAATGTTGAAGAATCTTTCACAGAGGAACCGAGTGAAGTATTTCCATATCCTGATTTTCTCCCTCCTCCTTTCAGTACTCTGGACTTGCACAAATTAGCGCTCTCAAAATCTGAAAATTGGAAAGCAACAGTGGAGCCTCCAGAAAGCTCTATTGAACATTTGATAACTCGTTTACTGGAAATGGAAAGATTACAACATATGACTATACAAAGAGAGAGGCCAAGACTACAAACGGCCTCCTGTACTCCAGCAGTTACTGAACGACCCTCTTCCTCTAAAGCTATACCCAAAATGAGACAGCCAAAACTTGCTGACTCTCTGAGTCTTCAGACAACTTGTGTAGATAAAAGTCAAGAAAAAAGAAAAAACAATGCTGGTTCTTGTAAGCTTGAACAAAATGCTTCAAAATGGAATTGCAGCAATGCTGGCAAATATAAATGGAATTCTAGATCACCGTCTCTAAAAAGTTCAACCACCACAAAACAATTGATTGCAACTTATGATGACTTTAAGAATCCCAAAATCTCCATTTTAAATCCATGCCAAGAACTCTCCACCAAGCCTACTACTACCCAAACAACTCAATTACTGGTTAAAATGGTCTCAACAAGATGTCTGCCACCTAAGTCTCCAATACCAATTTCACCTATTCCTCTGTCTTTTCCTGAAAATCAGAGGGAAGAAATTAAGGTACCAAGGACCAAAAAGAAACTTTACCAAAAAAACATAGTATTGAACAGACCATTCTACATTCAGAAGCTAAACTGTTTATCATCTTCGTTTATGGCTAAGGGTAAGTGCTCACTCATTGATCAAAAATAACTGTTCTTTCAATGTGAGCAAATCTAGTCCAAGAAGCCCGGCTGAAATACGCTTCATCATTCCAAGATACAGATATTAAACACACACACACACACACACACAGTCTTCGATGTGATATGGAATAGGGCTTGTGACAGTCTCTGCTGAGACGTGTAATACAAATCCAGGGCTTCCATACTAACATATTTGAGAATCTTTTGCATGTTATGTTTCAAAGAAATGTTTTACTTAGTAAACTAGTCTATTCCAAAGATTGTTCTTCTGTCGTGATTGTTTTCCCAGTACAGCGCTATCCTCAGTGAACGGTACAATCGACTTCCTGCTGCTGTAGCTACTCTTTTACGTGTCCTATCATACAGTCCTAAGAATGCAGTTACCGCTAACAGTGACTTTTTTTCAGTTCTTCCCACTCTGGTACCTTTTTTTCTTTCCCTTCCCACCTCCACAAATCTCCTTTGTCTATCATTTTGATCTGTCCTTTGGGTATTTATTTGCTTGGCCATTAAAAGCTAAAGAAGTTGCTGTTTGGTTAAACTAATACATAAGACCCTCTCGGTCCTCCTGGGAATCCCTAGAAAGTTCCCCTGTCCCAGGCCCTTTGTCATACACGTGACAGCAAGATCAGTCTCTTTGGGGCCCAACTACAGGTTTAGACATGAAACAGCCCTCTTCCTCTTGGATCCAATAGTTTTTAAATGTCAAAGGAAAAATGAGAAAAGGTCACTGTCCGCAGAGCATCCAAACTCTCACGTTAATAGAATTTTCCCCAAGGCTCTTAAGGAAAAGTCTTAACTCCTGTTTATTGAAACTCAGGCAGCTAGAGCTTACGTCATTAACTGGTGGAAAGGGAAACTACATGATCGACACACTTACTGCACGTAAGAATCAGGGAAACAAACAAGTGGAGTCCTGGGCCCTATTGCAGGCCTATGGAAACAATCTTCGGGAGTGGGGCCCAGGGACCTACATTATAAGCGAACATCCCAGGTGATTTTAATACAGGTGGTTCTTGGATCACACTTTGAAGAGCATTGTAAAGGGAAAACTTAATGTAACGTGCCTAGATGGGAGTTTGGATATTTTAGGGGTGCGGGGGGGCAGGGTAGTGTGCTTTGGTTTTAGTGGCTGGTTGGTAAATTCCAATTCATTTTTCTTTTCATTTCTTTTCTTTTTTTTGAGGAAGATTAGCCCTGAGCTAACTACTGCCAATCCTCCTCTTTTTGCTGAGAAAGACTGTCCCTCAGCTAACATCCATGCTCATCTTCCTCCACTTTTTTTATACGTGGGACGCCTACCACAGCACGGCTTTTGCCAAGTGGTGCCATGTCCGTACCCGGGGTCCAAACTAGGGGAACCCTGGGCCGCAGAGAAGCAGAACATGCAAACTCAACCGCTGTGCCACGGGGCCGGTCTCTCGTTTTTCTTAAACATTAAAAAAAAAACACAGTGAAAACTTCAAATATTACCCAAAGGTAAAAATGAAAAGCAAAAAGCCTCTGCCTGCCCTCACCTCCCCACACAAAGGCGGTTGATACCAAATTTTATCATCCCCCCAAATAAGATGGAATATTTGAATTAGGGATGGGCAAGATGAAGGACAATTCAAATAAATGTTGAAGACCGCTACTGTAGCTTGTTTCCTCTAACCTATCTTTAGTAAAACAATAAGGCTCAAATAGTTTTCTTAGAGGCAAGGGTCAAAGAGAGTATGCTTAGTTTTCAGGTTAATTTTGAAGAATTTTCTGGAACCATATGAACACAGCAATGGAAAATAAACTGTTCAGGATCCCACAGAATTTTACCTAAATCTCATACAATTGGTGTCACTATCCAAAGTAGTGTAACATCCCTTTCAGACAATTATAACAAAAAGTGGACTTAACGTTTCCACTCAGTTCCAACTTGCAGTCATCTTTCTTGTTTCCCCTGCCTTCTACTATCTTTACTGTCACTCTTAGAATTCTAGCGGGTCTTGAACCTTTTTTCCCAGCCCTTTGTGCTCATTCTCATCTCTGCTTTACCTGTTTGGGTTTTATACCCTCACCTTTAGGGCTGTAATAATGTACTTTCTACTCATAAAACCTTCAGGAAGGCACACGACTGCTTTGCTCACCACTGACTGTATCCTGGACAATCACTGCCTGGCATCTGGTAGAGACCCTTCGGAGTATTTGATCACGGAATGGACTTCACCCATCACTGAGGGGCGTTATACACGACAGGGCAGTTACAAGCACTGGCTCCATAGCCAGACTATCTGAATCTGAACCCAGGCTCTGCCACTCAACAACTCTAACCCATCAGGCAGGTTCCTTAACCTCTCTGTTCCTCACTGTCATCATTTGTAGGGGAGGGTGGAATACCTTTAATCTCATATAATCATGTGAGGATCCTGAGTACAGTGCCTGACAGTCAGAAAACATTGGGGAAAACAGAAATGACGCAGGGGGCAGAGTGAGGGGGATGAGCTGCCACAGCACTGAAGTAGCCACCACTGGAGCAACGACTCTCTACATAAGTTGTCTTCCTTCTTACAAGGCACGTACCACGCATGCACCAGGCGCCAGGGACGTGGTATGAAGTAATGCAGACACAAAGCCTGGTTTTCTGAAGACCAGTGTGGAATGGACATGAGAGATGGGACACAGGAGGTGGGGAGGAGCATTTTAGAGGTTTAGGGAATACAGGATCAGTCTGTCAGGGGTTCCATGAAAAGGATCTCTGCACTCAAGGATCGTTTTGGTCCCTTTGAATGTGGGGGGAAAAGTGATTTTGGGCTTTTAATGGCTTAGAGAAAATTAAGGGCAACTTTCCTATTGGAAACATGACAAGTTATTTAGGATGCCCTTAGACCTAAAAATAGGAGCTACTGAAACACCTACCAGACAATTTCCAATTAGAGCCCAAAATTGTGTTAAATGGAATTACTCAAAAAATGTATTAGCATTGCTGATTTCAATTATGAGGCAAAGGGATTAACAATTTTAACATGTCACGATTACTTAGTAAAAGTATCATTGCTGGGATTCTTCTAGGTAAACTGAGTCCCCAGCATGAGGTCAGAAGTGGTATGCAGGAAGTCGACGTAGCCGTTGCAAGTTCATCTTGTAGAATGACGAGGTACAAGACTTGGCCAATACATGTGAATTGGGTGTAGAAAAGCTCACCACTGGATGGCAGGGCACTAACTATAAACAAATTCAAATTTGGCTATTTTTTCAGACCTGTTAGAAGCTAACTTATACCACTTATTTTTGAAAAAAAATTTTGGCAAAGTTCGTAACATAATTATATTCAGGAAATTTTAGTTAAACTCAGCCTCCTGGCTTGCTCATCAATTTCCATGTTTAGCTCTCCAGTACTGGTATTTTTTCTTAGCTCCTTTTTGGATCTTAACTGAGGTAGATTCTGACTTCCCCATGAGTAAGAGAAAGCGCATGTAAAAAGAGATATTTCTCCTGAAACAATTTGCAGCCACCCCCTCCTGCCCCTGTACACCCTGTATTTCACTTTCCCCAACAAACACAGGATCTCACAAGCCTTCTCAGTCAGTCACTTTAGGTAGATGAACATGCAGCTCTTAATCCTCTGCCAGCCCAAGGAGAAAACTACAACCAGGGCCTTTTCAAGGCAGCTATCCAGAGCCTCTGACATTGGGCCTCTTTGGTGATAAAAACCAGGACTTGACCAAACTAGCTTCTGCTGGCCATTTGGTGGCAGGCAGCTACAACTGGGTTGGCCATACTCTACAGTGACACTCTGTCCCTCCCTACCCCAATCCTGCTTGGCCGTGCTCGAGATTCACACAACGCCCTGTTCCTCTTAAGCATCTCATTCACTGTTTTTAAAAGCTGAAGACAGATCCTTTAAGAGAAGAAAATAGTGGGTTGACTGAGGCTAGGAGGCCAGTATTTGTCAGGCTCCTCATCAGCAATGAACCAATTTAAAGCATCACAGAAAAGGGAGTTATCTCACTACTACTTATGTTTCTGTTGCTGGGAAAACCAAGTCAGAAATATATGTAACAAGAACATCAACAGAACACCCTTTCACGTGTGTTCTGTACTTAGTTGCTTAGAAAACGTTTTGATGTTTGTCAGGATGATCACGCCAAACTGGCTGCTCCCAAGCTGCAGGTCTGGGGAAGGGCAGACGCTGCCCCGCAGCTGGTCAAGATCCCTCCACACCTCTCCCCTTCACTGAGATTCACGAAGCAGCAGATGTCTTCTAAGATCTTTTAAAGTAAATATTTAAGCTTAACCCAGCAGTTCCCAATTATATGTGGGCACGGACACTTTTCAAAGCATGTCCATGAACATCAGTGAAACAGCATCTAAGAAACATCAGGTAAGAAATGGTGTTTTTTAACTTAAAACTAAATGTAAAATATCAAACTCAAGCAAAGGAAAACTCACGAGACAACATGGTAACAAGCGGCATATTTTATTAAGTTCCCAGGAAGTTGACTGGGAACATTGCTGCTAAAATGCACGTTACAATTCAAATGATATCATGAACATTAGGGTACATATTATTTTCAGAGCTCAGCTTCCATATCTTGATCACTAAATGGAAAGATTCTTCAGAAGAACAGGCCCTTAACCCTACATATAGAAGGAGAAGAAAAATTAAAGATGCCATGATGATATCTATCAAAATAATTGGAAAACATTTTAAAAGTCAATTTAGTGTACATTACTGATGTGTGAAGAACACAAATGAATTTGTAGTGCACATTTCTCTAAGGAGAGCACTCCAGCTGGAATGATAGAACTCATGTTGCATACGTGCTTGAAACTAGTATACCATGAAGAGAGAAACACTTTATGAAGCCCAATTTCTAATGACATCATTATAACTAATGGAAGGAAATCACACATTTGAACATCTGGTTTCTTTCCTATCTCTAACATTTAACACAGCATTCCTTAACTGCTTGGCCTGAATTTTAAGCTATGTGATTCCTTTGTTTCATTTCAGAGATTTTATTTATACCTTGCCAGCTAGAGTTCTGCTACAAAATGATAAAGGACAGCTAAAGCACAGTAGGAGGAATGCAAATATGGAAAAAAATCTTAGAACATTACATTTCACTGCCTCTACCACATACCATAAAACATTATATAATTTTTTCATATTGTAAAAATGTCCTGAGTATTTCTTTTAGTTAGGGAAAAAAGTTGTAATTATAATGGCAAAGAAAAAAAACTCATATTATTTTAAAACAATTATTTTGATAGAAAGAAGTCGA